AGTGAGATGATCGACAGGCAGATCGGTGCGGCGTCTGCTGTGATGCGGACTTTGTATCGGTCTGTCATGGTAAAAAAGGAGCTGAGCCAAAGGGCGAAGCTCTTACCGGTCGATCTACGTTCCAACCTATGGTCACAAGCCATGGGTCGTGACCGAAAGAACGAGATCCCGGATACAAGTGGCCGAAATGAGTTTTCTCCGCAAGGTGTCCGGGCTCTCCCTTAGAGATAGGGTGAGAAGCTTGGTCATCCGGGAGGGGCTCAGAGTCGAGCCGCTTCTCCTCCACATCGAGAGGAGCCAGATGAGGTGGCTCGGGCATCTGATTAGGATGCCTTCTGAACGCCTCCCTGGTGAGGTGTTCCGGGCATGTCCCACCGGGAGGAGACCCTGAGGACGACCCAGGACACGCTGGAGAGACTATGTCACCCAGCTGGCCTGGGAACGCCTCGGGATCCCCCGGGAAGAGCTAGAAGAAGTGGCTGGGGAGAGCAAAGTCTGGGCTTCCCTGCTAAAGCTGCTGCCCCCGCGACTCGACCTCAGATAAGCGGTAGATGATGGATGGATGGATGGATGGATGATGATGCTGTTTTAGGTTTACAAAACATACGTGTAATTCACTCAGATTTATTTATTTTTTTATTTAGTTTCACAAATGCAGATGATAAAACACAACAAACAGTAAAAGTCAATTTCAAATGATCATTCTGAGGACAATGAAGTGACTGGACTGTTGTGGTTGTCCTATCAGATGTCATGCACATTGTGTTGTGGTGTGGAAACCTCAGGTGCCTGGGGTCTTTTTCTTAAAGGAGGCCCTCAAAACCTGAGATACCCCAGATGGTTGCATGTAAAAAGTGCCACTAGCTCCAGAAGGCATAAGAGCAAGGTGGATGACGAAGAAAAGACTGACAGATGTATAATAATAACATATATCATTCTGTTGGTGTCAATTTTTAGCTGAGAAACAAAAGATTTTTAAACACAACATTCCAGCATACTCAAAACCTGGCAACACACTGTGGCAAAAGCTGGTATACCTTAGTGTTGACTAAGAAATCTCAAGTCGTTCAGGACCCCTACTATATATTCGGGAAAGAAAGCAACCACTGAACATATCACAACACTGACGGACTGATCTTCAGGTCAAGGCTCTGCTGTCTGCAGGTACGTGCATCGCAAAGAGAAAGAAGACTCTTCAGGACAAAAATGTGCATATTCTGTCTTGACAGTTTGAAAGAGTAGTGAGAGACACCATTTACGTTAACAGGAGCCCTGACTGTAATGTAACTTTTGATTTATTTGGTTGTTCGTAATCTGTGATATAATCAGACCAAATTTTCGAAAATAATTTCTCGTTTGTACGTTTTGAAGGAACTTTATTTGCATCTACTCACCATTGTCGTAAGGCACTCTAGGTAGTGATGTAGAGTGGTGGCTGCTCTCTGCTGAGCAAAGCAAAACAAATGCAATCGACTACTCTCGTTTCATTTTCGTTTCGTTTCGTTTGTTTATTGAACATAAAACATACCGTATACTCTCATCAAGAAAGAGTCAAAATGTCGCACTGAGTGGCTTTTGGAAGTACTTATCAATCAAAGGGGAATTAAAAAAAGAGCAAAGTAAGCTTCCAAAGCCTAAAGAAAGGAAGTTTAAGAAAACAGTGGGAGGATGTGGTTGATAGAGTCTGCTGTGCTCTTGCTGTGCGTCTGGCTATACAGTAAATGATGGTTAAAATCAAGGCAGTTGTTATATTCCCATGACTGGCAAATCCCTGCTACAGTGAAACTCCTCTAGAACGAAACCTACATGGGCGAAAATACCCCCTAATGTGAAAAAATTTTCATGCATTAACACCATTCCCATTCTCCTGACGAAAAAAAACCCTGTTGCGTTATGCGAAATCATTTTCTCTGCTCCAGCCTCGCGAAGACATTCACTACAATGAAGTCTAATCCAACAGCGACCTCTACTGCTGCGTTCAGAAACGGCAACAGCAACCACCACACTGGTTTACATCGTGAACGATGTTTATTTCGGTCACAGCTGCGAGTTTCCTGAACGCAACATACTCATAGCTGCTCTGCCATTGGCTTACCGAACATCATCCTGGACTCCGATTGGCAGCTGCTCAGAGTAAATTGCTTGTGGCTCGACGGACAGTCAAATAAACGAACGTTTCCTGGAACGCTTAATTTGTTATCGTGCTAAAAACCTTACGCGAACTGGAGCGCTAATTAGAGAGAAGGCGAGTTCCATCGCGCTAACTGTGGCCATCGAGGACTACGAAGCGTCCCGTGGCTGGCTTAAAAGTTCATTGCATGACATTAGCTGAGCAACGCTGTCTTGGGTGGCGATCGAGGGGAGGTCGAGTTAGAGACAGTGAGATGGTGGAAAGAAAAGCCACCGGGTCCAGGAAGTATTTGTTGTTGTTAGATTCAGACGAGCATGGACGTTGCATTGCTAAAATGGCTACAAAACGGACCTTTGGATGTCAAGCAGCTAAGACAAGACGAGCTTTGATGCTGGAAGAGAGGGTAAAAGTAATCAAAATGAAAGACGGAGCAAGCGAAATCAAAGACATTATCCAAGAAATTGATGTAAGTGAAAGTGAATGCTGATTGTAAATTTTGCAATTTCTTTCCCTTTTTTTCTTCTTTCTACACTGACAATATGAAGTGTCAAATAAGTGTGTGCTCATACTTGCGCACTACTGGAATAAAAATAGAATACACATATGCGTGTACACATACGTTTGTTTGTGTGTGTGTGTGTGTGTGTGTGTGTGTGTGTGTGTGTGTGTGTGTGTGTGTGTGTGTGTGTGCTTACATCTGAGATCAAATTTGCTGTAGTGAAAAACCCCCGGTTGTGAAAATTTTCTTGCTGCAAACATGATTTCGTTGTAGAGGAGTTTCACTGTAGTGTTATTTTGCCGTAAATGGCTCTGATTCGGGCGTCCCGGTCGGCCAGTGGTTAGCGCGTCAACCTCACAGTGCAGAGGTGCAGGGTTCGATTCCGGCTCCGGCCTCCCTGTGAAGAGTTTGCATGTTATCTCCGTGCCTGTGTGGGTTTTCCCCAGGTACTCCGGTTTCCTCCCACATGCACAATGAATTCCAACTCTATTATCTCCAACAAACTTTGTGGTTTGCTGAAAAAGGCAGAGAGTACTCTCTCTAATGCTTAACAAGTCTTCTTTCTGTGTAAACAAGCACCACAGGGTTTCCAAAAATGGACGAAAAAGAAAATACGAAAGAGAGCACAAATCCGCGGTGATGACTCGCTTGCTAAAAATATGGAAAAAGCCAGACAGTGTGTGGCATTTTGACTCCTCCTAATTCCAGTAGTATTTTGCATTTGATTTGCTCTGCTGAGAGACCTGCAACAATTCTATGTCATTGCAACAATGGTGGCGTACATGCAAATAAAATATCTTCAAAGTGCATTAAACTGGAAATTTCATTCAAAAATTTAACTTAGTGATTTTACTAACAACCAAATAAATCATATAGAGGAGGGTTTCAAACATACGGGCTGCGGGCCGGAACCGACCCCCAAGGAGGTTTGATCAGGTCCGCAGGATAATTTAGAAGTGAAAAAATGCATAAAAGACATGGAATGAATATTTTTAACAGGATGCAATTCATGGAGGTTCCGCTAGGGGGAAACACTGTTTTGATCAGAGTAGAAGACAACATTGTTTTGATCAGAGAAGAAGACAACAGTCTCAGTCCGTCACTCAGACAGACCAAACACAGCAGACGCTATCAAGGACATGTGAATACTTTCTTCTTTACACATTTAATAGCACTCTCCTTAGATTGTAAGGTGTAGGCAGGGATTAAATTTAGATTTTATATGGACATGTGTAAATGGTTTACAAATTCCTTTCTTTATAAATCTGGTTTAATCTTAAAGTGTATTACTATATTTTTCAATACCAATTACTTGTTAAAGTTGTGTGTCTTTGTACAATCAGCGTGATCAGTTGCAATGCATATATGTGAATGATAAAAGTAAATTGCACATTTATCTAAGGAAATCTAAGGTGCTTCATGAAATATTTTGTAAAAGATATGCTCATTAAATTTCAACATGTTCCTAATATTCTTGTGCTTCTTTAGACCAAAACAAAGGAAAGACATATTATTGTGGTTATTTATAGCAGAGTATGGTATTATTTTAATGGTCCGGCCCACTTGACATCTACTGAGGCCGTATGTGGCCCACAATGTGAAATGAGTTTGACATATCTGATATAGAGCATTACAGTCAGGGATTCTGATTAAAATAAGTTCTCTAAACCATCTTTTCATCCCTTATAAAGAGAGTTAGTGGATAAAAAGTTTGATTTTCATATCAATACCCAGGATAAGATATCCTTTATTTGTCCCACACTGGGGAAATAGTGCTATTCTATCTCGCCTTGGGCATTAACCTTGGAAGTGCACTCGGAAACGTCTTCTCACATAATCACAAACAGTCCAGTCTGATCGATTCAAATTCCTGACAAGGAAATAGCCTGGATGAATGAGGACATTCACAGGCTTCTGATAATTCGTGCGTGAAGTGCTCTTTGGTAGAGTACATTGTGATGTAGCAATTAGGAGCACATAGAACAACAACAAACCTTCGCAAGTTCAAAAGATCTTATACAACACAAGCTAACATGCTCATGACAATAATGGATAAATGAAATAAGCTAACATGCTCATAAACATTAAACATAAAATGAGCACATGCTAATAAAATTGAAATAAACACAATGAAACACAAACTAAGACCACTCAAATTCTAATTCAGTCGAACTTTGTTTCAACGCACCCAGTTTACAAGGTTTTCATCCCTGCAACGTTCACATTTCAAATTGCCAATTTCACATAATTCATTTTCCATTTGCTGGTTTTGCTTACAACAAACACCTTTATAATGTAAACTTCATTTTATAAGAATCAAATTTTTCCCACAAAATAGTGAAAAGGCCTTTGTTACAACGAACCGTGGGAAGCTAACTGCCAGCGCCATCTTGCTAATGAACAAAAATGTACAGTGCGGGATTCCCGAGTTGCTAAGCAGCGCTCCTGATAGACTCAGTACACTGTTGTTGTCCTTCCTGCCATAACTCACAGAAGCACAGTGCGGTCCAGAGGACATGCTCTGAAAAGATGTCTGATGAGCGGAAGCAAATTTCGCTGTCTGTGAAGGCTGAAATTGTCTCTCACTTTTCGAAAGGGACTCTCTCAGATGTTTGCGGCACTGGCATTTGTTGATTGAATGTTTTCAGAGATTAAGTAGGAATGCTACAGTTGTTTGTCTCATATCTTATAAAATTATTATACTGTATTACATGTTCATGTGTTTACATCTATAAATGTTCAAACTGTATTATACGTCATAGTTGTCGGCCATTTTATTGGAAATGGTTACAACCAACTACCGTTATAAGGTACAGATTCGTTATGACCCTTGAGGTAGGTTGTAACGAGGTTCGACTGTACTGGCACAAACACATGCATGAGCATGCAGAGCAAGTCAATGGGGACCCCAAAATACAGTGATGGCAGATCATTCAGAAATCTGAAAGAACACACAAAAGTGTGTTAGCAACACTAGTTGCAGCAAGTGAAAATAAAATGTAAACAAATCGAATGGTGAGCAACACTAAAATGCAATTGAATATGTAAAATAAATGTAAACAACATAAACAAACTATAAGCAATGCTACAACATACCAATAAAGATACGGTATGATGTAAAGAACAAAGGAATAGTAGCTAGCATGTTAATGAACATAAAAAGCAAACAACACAAATGGCATGCTAATGAACATTTAACAACATTCGCTAACATAATGAACATGAGAGCACTATGGCATCCATCTTGTCTTCTTTAAAATACAGGTTTGACGTTTTCTATTTTGGACATTTTTTGTCCAGTAAAGATAAAATTCTCATACAGTACTTTGCTGACAGTTTTGGCACTCCAGTCGTTCCAGCCTCCGTCACAGCTGACACCATTTCCTTGTGTGTCGTGTTTAAAAACAGTGATCAGGTCAGGAAACCTTCAAAATAAAGTTCCACGACCAGATGAGGTCTGAGCTCCAACTTCCTGTCACCGGTAGAGGATGGCGTTCCAGGTGTGTGGAAGCATGTAAGACACCTTATCCCTTTTGATGGTGCTGTCACCACACCTTATTTCTATGACCCAAATTGGTTGTTCTGTGATAAGATGACTTTTCCATTCTCCTAGTGCATGACATGATCATGTCTTCTGCAGTAATCTGTTGTGGCTGAATTCTTGTTTTCTTGTCTGGCTTTTTGTTTTGGCATTCTGGTGTACAACACACTCTCACACGTCACATAATACCATTCAGACTTAGCACAAGGGATGGGTATAAAAAAGGTTTCATGTTACGACTAATCTCAACAATACTGTTTATAAATCTGCTGCCTTAACGGTATTCTTAGCGGTACTGTTTTATTGTTTAGAAAAACACCAAAGCAAAATTCACAATGCTTTTTTTTTTTTTGGTCATAAATGTAGTTGTCCTGCAATGACAACATTAATCAAATACATAAATAATAATTGACAGACAAAGAAATTATTAGAACAATTCACTATGATACTGTTAAACATTGCATAAACAATTATTGGGTGTTAAAGAAAACTTGTGGTGGGCAACAAGGCTGGAACATGCAGTTGCGCTGCAAAAACATTTCTGTGTGATGAGGTGCACATTTTCTGTTTGCTAAGCTCAGTTGTGCTTCTCCCTGTCATTTTAATGATTGGTTGCACTAGTGACAACGTGCATTGAGTCGCGACATTGCAAGGCCATCTCTCCATCCGTGAAGGATAACCAAACTTTTACATCAGTGGAACGGTTACAGTGAGTGCAAATCAATTATCATAACACGAGTGAAATGTTTGACTCCTACATTTGTTGCAACAGAGTTAACCCAATGTAAATGACACCAGTTTGGGCTGGGTGAGTGTACGTGATTGAAAGCTCTTTCCTCAGAAGCTTTCAAGCCCACTGACTTCACGGCTCAATCTACCAAGCCAGTGACGTTCTGGCTTTGAAATTCAATAGGGTGGGTTTGGAACAGAGGACTCGCGGCCAGGTTACACATATAACGATCCCACACATCAAAATAACGTGATAAAAACTATTGGGATATTCACCAACATGGAGGTTTTTAAATAATACTATTTATGATATCACAATATGATCACACAGCACTACATGGGCACAAGAAGGAGTCACATATGCCTATCACGCGGGAAATTTACTTCGCTTAGTAGTCAACGTGTGACTGTCGTGATAGTACGTCGTGTGATTTATTTATTTATTTTTTATCAACCAAAAAAAGAAAGTGGTCGGATGAATATGTAGAACATGGATTCGCATGCATCATGGCACGTGATGGGACTCAGCATCCCCTCTGCATGATTTGTCATGCCAAGTTGAGCAACTTCAGTCTCACACCGGCAAAACTGAAGGAACACTTCTTGAATCATAGTTTTGTGTTTCACTAATGACGGGTTCAGTGAATGTGGATATGAATTGGTTGGGTTCGGTACCTCTAAAAAGGTTATGAACCACTGACCGTGATTTAATTGAGTACTGTTCTGACTGGGACAAAGTTTGGCTCTTTGGGGCCTTGATGATGTTAGTTGTTTTGGTCCTTTACAGGAGCACATCAGGTTTTTGGTAATTTCCTCTCTCTCTCCATTTCTTCTCGACCTCGATCCTAATCCATGCTGATCCTGTTTTCAAGTTCATTGTCGAGATGGATGCTTCTAATTTTGGGATTGGGGCTGTGCTCTCCCAGAGAAATCCCAAGATCAAAAATGATCTTTGTGCATTCTTTTCACACAAACTGTCCACCCCGCCCCCCAAAAAGGAATTATTATGTTAGCAACTGTGAATTGTTAGCTTTGGTGGCTACCCTTCAGGAGTGGAGACATTGGCTGGAGGAGCTGAGATCACTTTTCAGGCACTAACAGATCACAAAAACCTCAAGTATCTGCAATCTGCTAAGCGCCTAAATTCTTGTCAGGTTCGTCAGGCCTTGTTCCGTGCTTTAATTTCTCTCTATCCTATCATCCAGGCTACCGAAATGTGAAACCTGATGCTCCCTTTCATATGCATGATCCATCTTCAGAGAGGCAAGATCCTGAGACCATCCTTCCCTCTTCATGTTTCATCGGGGCAGCAATTGGGACATTGAGCGGGCAGTTCTGGAGCCACAATGAAACCAATCAGATCCTGGCTCGGGCACCAAAGATCGGGTCTTCGTCCCAGATTCCGTCCGCTCCGATAGAATCGAACTATCCAATTCTTGCGACAGCATTCCCTCTGCCCTTGTGACTGCGAACATCCTAGTGAACTATGTCTTCATGCCTCATGGCATCCCAATTGACATTGTTTCTGACTGGGGTCCTCAGTTCACATCCCAGGTATGGTAAGCTTTCTGTGGAGCCCCGGGGGCATCCCCTAGTCCAGCGGTCCCCAACTACCGGTCCGCACAGAAAGAATAAATAACTTACATTACTTCCGTTTTATTTATTTCGGAATCTAATAGGTGTTTTCGTTTGAAAAATTACTGCATTCTCTGTTACATCCGTCGACAGTATGTCACTCTTGACGCAGGTCAAGGCGCACTTCTCGGTCACGTGACAGGTTACCGCTAAAATGAAACCCAGAAGCTACCAAAATGAGAAAAAACAAACTTCTTTGGAAAGTTTCTTTGCGAAGGGGAAAAGGCCCAGCCAGGACACAGAAGAAGAGCCTACGACTTCCAAGAAAAAGAAGGCTACATTTAATAGACAGTATCAGGAGTCCGACTTAAAATACGGATTTATCTCAATGGCACATTACCACGCACCAAGCCCATTCTGCATAATATGCAGTGATGGTGAGTCGTATATTTCTTGCACTTTGTATTTGTGGTGTATCTTATTTTGAAGGCGCGTTTAAACATTACCATAGCGACCCGAGAGTGTTGCGGCCAGATAGGACATTCCTCCTGTCATGATTTGTGTTGTTTATGTTTAGAAAATTCCACCGTTTTCATTGCAGGTCATATCATATTATTTTGTTGTATTAATCTGCCACCCCTTAAAGGCTGGTCACTGAAAATATTGTCTGACATTAAACCGGTCCGTGGGGCAAAAAAGGTTGGGGACCGCTGCTCTAGCTTGTCTTCAGGTTATCACCTGTTCATGGTCGCCTATGGGTATCAGCCCCCACTCTTCCCTTCCCAGGAGCAAGAGGTCGCTGTTGCCTCTGTCTGTGCCCATCTCTGTCGTTGTCGTGCTGTCTGGAGACATGCCAGAGCTGCCCTGTCCCGAAAAGCCCAGTGCAGATAGACATTGGTCTCCTGCTTCAGACTATCACCCGGTGCAAATGGTTTTGCTGTCTGCCCGTGACCTTCCCCCCCAGACTGATTCCCATAAACTAGCGCCTAGGTTCATTGGGCCTTTTGAAATTGAAAGGGTCATTTACCCTTCCGCCAACCGTCCTAAACTACTAGCTCTCGCTCTCTCTCTATCTCTCTCTCTCTCTCACTCTCTCCGTTTCTCTTCTGAAGCCAGTCTCCTCTAACATTCTCACCCCTCTTTCCGAGCCCCCTCCTCCGCCACTGGTGATTGACAGTCACCCCGCCTACACTGTCCGCAAGATTTTGATGTACGTCGCCGTGGTAGGGGTTTTCAGTATTTGGTTGACTGGGAGAGTTACGGCCCAGAGGAATGATTCTGGGTCTCTCGGTCCTTCATTAGCAGCCTTTCACTGCTCTAGGTCTTCTACCGTGAGTTCCCTCACAAGCCGGGAAAGGCACCGGGCAGTGCCCCTTGAGAAGGGTTGGGGGGCGGGGGGTGGATGGATTACTGTTGTGACTGTGACAGAGTTTGGCTCTTTGAGTACTTGATGTTGTTAGTTGCTTGGGTCCTTTTTGGTCATACAGGGCTGAGATGTTTTTTCTCTATGTAGGCTTGAGTTACTCAGTTACATATTGTCGGAACATGAAGCCTTCCATGCCCTGTTGCGTCCAGCCCTGCACTATGTTTTTTACTTTGAATTTTTCAAACTGATAAAGTTTGTGTTGAGCAAATAGTCATCAACTATGAAACACGTTTCAAAAAAAGACAAGGTCATGGTTACCACTGTACCACTTTTCACAAAATTCAACATTTGGGAACTGAGATTTGAAGGTGGAATTCTTTCCCATTCTTGCTTAATGTAGAACTTCCGATGTTCAACAATCCGGTGACAAAAAAACATTCACACTCACAGTTATACCTAGGGACAATTTAGAGTGTTCCATTAACCTACCATGTATGTTTTTGGAATGTCGGTGAAAACCGAAGGGCTCTTGTGAAAAACTGCTGCTGTGACATTGAACTACCTTCAAAGTGCTTACATTTTTCACTGTGTCTGTTCGCTGTAATCTTGTTGTGGGTGTTAGCATGTCCTGTTTGAATTGAATTGAATTGAATACAACTTTATTGTCAAATGTCCTGTACATATGTGTAACATACAGCACAGATGAAATTTTTTCCCTCTCAACATTGGTGTTGTTTTTTGTAATTTAACGCTTTAAAAAGAGCCACAGTCTCTTTGCAAATGAGCCAGACACAGTTGTTGCTTATTTCAGTGAATAAAATAATCCAATTGCCAAATTTCCTTGAATTGTTGGCCCTGGCTGTCAAATTCCTTTTTTTATTAACTGTCAGAGAGGGTCACACAGAGTCATGGAGTGGGACAGAGTGCTGCAGACCTCTTGTGGGTACATTTGAAATTTAATTTGGCATGTATTTTATATGCTGGTCAACTGTGCTACGGGCCAGAGGTTATTCATTTTTTAAAAGAGGTCGGGGGCCAGATAAAATTTTACCTGGGCCTGACTTTGGACATTTCTGGCCTAAACCAATCAAAAATGAATTTGAGTCACTTCTCTAAGACCGCGAACAGAACCGTTAAGAGTGGAACTTATCATTTCTGCGCGTTATAAAAATACAGCTACAGGGCCAGTTTAGTACCGAGGCTCGGTATCCATCCCTCAGCAGCACCATTACCAGGGACGAGGGTTTATAAGCTCCCACACACTTGGGACACGATCCTTCAGTGGCAGCGGGGTTTGAAGCGCAGACCTTGTTGGGTCGGGAAAATTTATTTGGATGGTTTCTTGACAGGATCAGCAGTTTTTAGACACGATACACAAGGAAATGGTGACACCTTTGACGAAGGCTGGTGTGACAGCCGAAAATGTAAACAAAGATGTTAAGTACTTATCTAGTGATTGGTTAACTGCTTCTTAAGTTAGTTCTACATGGGTATGAGTTCTGTGTGCATTACTCACCAGGGTGACGCTGCTGCTAACATGCTGGTGCGTTGAAGCCGCAGCTTGTTGACAGCAGATTCAGCAATGTCGGCTCTCTCTTCGGCATCATCGAGCTGGTGTTGCACCTTGCGGAAGTGCATCGAGGTGCAGTTCACTTGCTCTTCCTGGTGTACAGACATTGCTTAGAAAAATAATCAACTTTTTATTTTAAAAGATGGTGGTGGCCCGGAGGACACAGAGTCCACTTACTGCACTTTCTGCTTGACGCTTGTAAATTTTGACTTTGCTTTGAAGTTTCTCAATGACTTCCTGCATCCTCATTAGCGTCCCGCGGTCCTCCTCTGACTGAAACACACCCACGCACATGCAAGCACCCACCCACCCACACACAAATACAATAACACAACATTAGTGCGCATGTTAGGAGTTCAGCCAATTATATGACTAGAACGGTGCTCCTCAACATTTTTTCACGGTAGATTGACGTACAGTTTTCTCAATCAGAATTGAATCACCAAGGGGGTGGCAGTGATGACATACATTTCTGATCTGGACGTAAATGGTACATTAAAAAAAAAAAAAAAAAAAATCTATCTATCAGTGCAACCTGGTAGCAAATAGCCTGTGCTGGGAATACTTTCCGGATGCGCCTATTAAGTGAATGTGAGGACATGTGTGTGCTTGTGTTTGTGCAACCTGGCCGGTGATCTCTTTCAGCTTCCTCTCATAACGCCGGACACCTTCCTGGTACTCCTCACGTTTCTTCTGCTCCATGCTCAACTTTGTCTGAAGCTCACACACCTGCAAGCATAGATGTAAGGTGTAATGTGTAAGGCATAAAAGCGACTGTGTAAAGTGTAACTTTGAAGAGATATGGTGCAGCTGGAAGCAAAATTTAGGGTATAAGGTTCAGGGCTTTTGTGTAAGCTGTAATGAATACCTTGTGTGGTATAAGGGAGGCGTGTCAAAAAAATTGCAGATATTGCAGATTGTATACATGTAGAAGACACCGCTGCAAAATTAGCATTTTTTCTGACTTTGATATTTATAAGTATAAGTTTGAGTACAAATGAACATTTTTGTTCATGTTGATAAACTACTGTCAACAAAACTAAACTTCTAAGTACATATATTGTGACGTAAAGCAATTATTTGCAGAAAATGGACATTCGTCAACATACAAAGAAATCCATGGTTTTTCATCTCTTGATTTTTTTATTTTATTTTTTTGCTGGTGTCTCCAGAAATTCCCTCACACTTAATAAATTATATTTATTAGAGGAATAATAAGAGCGTGATTATTAGCTTTAAGAAAGCTGGTGTCAATCCTAAATGCATGCTTGGCTATAGAACGTTATCGGACAAAAATGACAAAATGAGAGAAGATCCAACAGTGTCTACGTAGTTGTACTGCATTAGGTGTAAGGTCCCGTGTGTAACGCCGTTCAACTGACTCGTGTCTCAAGCTTGTAAATTTCCTTCTTGCTAGCCTTCAGCGCCATCTGTTCTGTCTCGTCCAGTTTCACTTGCAGCTCTGCATACCCCCACACACACACACACACACACACACACACACACACACACACACACACACACACACAATTTGTTTTGGTAAAACAAATTCCATCTTCCCAGCGATCATACCCCCTTGCCATTAAACAGTGAGGGCAGCGCCAACCTTTGATGGCAACCTGCATTTTCTCCTTCATCCTCTCAAGCATACTGCTGCTGTCCTGCTCCCTCTTCAGCTCCTCCGCCATTGTGGCTGCCTGCGGGTGTTGTCGCCATCATGTTGATATTGGAGCGGAAGCGTTGCAGTTGAAAGTGTCAAAGCAAGCACTCACGTCGGTGATGGCTTTTCTGGCTTTCTCCTCTGTGCTGCGACCCTCTGTCAGCGCTTCGTCGACTTCACTCACCAGATGACACACATCTGCCTCCAGCTTCTTCTTGTGGCTCACCAGACCTGCATTCTAAACAACGCCACAGAGCAAGACATCCATCAATTAAAGGATCCGTCGAACAGTCAATCATAAGATCAATCATTCATTCATTCATTTTCCGATCCGCTGAATCAATAAATCAAAAAATCAAATGATCCATCCATCAAGCAAGCAATGATTCAATACATCAGTCAAATGATCAATCATTCCATCAAATGAATATGGAATGATCAGACTATCAATCAAACGATTAAGCCTTTAAGCCAGTGTTGGGCAAACTACGGCGCGCGGGCCGGATCTGGCCCGCTGAAGGTTGGTACAGTACACAATTAAGGTTCGATGTAAATGATTGCATTCATTTCATTTGGACTTTTAATGACAGGCATTTCAACGCTAGGTGGCGCAGTTCATTGAAGTTGCAGAGCACAGGGAGCAAGGGGGAGACGATACGGAAGCCCGCAGTAGCGCTAACTCAAGTAACTTCGCTCAATAGAACGCTATTTTCAATCATTGGATCCAAAACAGCGACATGCAAGTGACTCTTTATTGCAGTGAGTTTTACTGGAATTGCGAACATTTTTATGTCCTGTAGATCATGGCATCCAAACGAAGAAGAACAGTAACGGCCGCGGAAGAGAAAGTGAATTGTATCTGATTAAACGAAGCAGGTTACAAAGTACGAAACATTCAGGAGACGCTTGGTGTCTGAAAGTCTCAAATCTACGAGACTTTGAAAAACGAGGAAGCGATTCTTGCTCAGTCCAATTCTGGCTGTTTCCATGCTCAGAGTGAATTGCATGCGGCTCGACGGGCAGTCGAGTAAATAAACGTTTCTTGGAATGGTTTGACTGTTATCGTGCTAAAAATTTTCCGCAAACTGGACCGCTAATAAGAGAGCAATCGAGTTCAATAGCGCTATGGGCATCGAAGACTTCGAAGCGTCCCGTGGCTGGGTTCAAAAGTTCGTTGCACGACATCAGCTGAGCAACGCTGTCTTGTGTGGTGATCGAGGGGAGGTCAAGTTCGAAACAGTGAGTGAGCGGAAAGAAAGCCACCAGGTCTTTTACTCGTCTCATTTTGGAGCAAATAGTCCTAACTTTGTTATATTTTGTCATATACCTGTACTGTATGCTGCAGTTTTTGGGCAATATATTGTTGCAATTTTTGTTTGTGTTGTCACACATGTATGTTGTTAACATACTTGGACATTCATATAGGCCATATAAGATAAGATAAGATAAGATAAGAAAACCTTTATTAGTCTCGCAATGGAGAAATTCCCATTTCACAGCAGCAAAGTTATGAAAGGAAGATGTAGAACATATACCACAGTTGTTTCACTGTTCTCATTAAAAAAAAGTATGGTAATACTTTAATGTATGTTCTGTTGCTGTTCTCATTAAAAAAAAGTATGGTAATACTTTAATGTATTTGTTCTGTTGATGTTTGGTATGGACTGTCAACATATACAGTTTTTTATATGTACCGTATCTTGTGCTGACCCGATCCACCTGTCAAATTTAGAAATCAATGTGGCCTCCGAGCCAAAAAGTTTGCCCACCCCTGGGCTAGATTGATCTCTACTGAACAAGAAAAAAAAAAACACTGAAACATGCTTGCTTGTATTTTTTCTACATTATTTGGCAGTTGGTACAAAAAATGTGAGTTATGTTACATTATTACTGGCATACAAAGACATTGTGCTATCTTCATGGGAAAGTTAAAATCAGAAAGCGTTGTAGTGTCCATCTTAATGAAAAAGAATTACAAATGTTGCACAATTAGAATTGTTTTGCATAATTTCACTGAAGAAATCATTTTTCTGGAAAATAACTGCACTTTCATTATCTAGCAAAAATACATACTCTATCAGCTTCTGTAAACAATGTCATTAACTTATTTCAACGTAGAAATAAAATTGAAATCAGGAGTAGATTTCTAACTTTTGGTCCGGCCCTCCACAATGTTTTCTGCTTCTCATTTGGGCCCCCCGGGAAAATAATTGCCCACCCCTGCTTTAAGCAATCAATCAAGTGATTGATCAATCCTAAAAGGATGAATAATTCAAATACTAAATCAAACGATCAAATGACCAGTCAAAATGTGAATGAGTGCGGAAGTAATTACGCAATAAAACAATAAATTAATGAAATAATCAACTAAACATTAAATTACCGTATTGCCTGTACTATAAGGCGATTCGAATTATCAGGCACACCCTTAAATGGCTTATTTTAAAACTTTTCACAAATAAAGGGGCACACTACATAATAAGGTGCAAAGAATAGAAGCTACAATAAATGAAAGACGAAAGTTATGAGGACAATTGATTCAGCAAAAAGGCTCACATTCACAAGTGGCTATATATCCTTAAAAGTCTTGCTTGCCTCATGCTTCCTTCGTACTTTAGTCAGTAGTTAACTATGCTTGTGGTATTATCTTTGTTGCAAAATGGCTGCGCAGAGCTCACAATTTAGATGTCTGAGTGTGTGTTAGCGAATGCACATGTCAACTAGTGTCGGGCAGAACCCTTTTAGGTTCCAATTGGTTCCTGCTAATGTTTTTGCTGCTCATCAGACGCTAAGAATACATCAGAAACAGGAAGACTCAGGAGGCAGGCGTGGATGTCTTTCTTGCAAGAGAGAGCGCGCTAAAACTTGGTTCACAATCTCGGAGCAGCTCCCCAGCTGGCTCTGCCATGTAAACCGTTCCAGGTTCCGGGGCAACTCTGAACAGACCGCGTTTGTCTCCTTGCATTTATTGAAAGGATGTCTCTGATACACGATCTTCTAATGTGTGTGGGGGAGTGTTAACATGTTTTAAAACAGTAGTGAGTCCTCCAAATGGGGCATAGAATCAGAATACACAATTCCTGAGGTGGTCACACGAGTCATGCTGGGGGTGATTGCCGTCGTTGAGGTCCCACAGGCGTTAACTTAAACAAAAGGATGTTAGCTTAATAGCCGAAAGCGGGACCCTTTTGGTCACACCTTGATTGTCAAACCCCCCCCCCATCCTATCGTAAATGAGATTTCTGAAGAGCCACACTCTTTGTAACTACAATAGGAGTAAGTATGGCCTAAAATATGAACATTTATTCAAACAGCTAATCATCACCATGAGATGACATAGGAACACACTATCAGGGAAACAACTCAATGGAGAATATAAAGAGACTGTGACACCATCTATAAGGTGCATCGGATTTTAGGGCGCACTGTTGGCTTTTGGGAAAATAGAATGATTTTAGGTGCGCCTTGTAGTGCGGAAAATAAGGTAACTTCGAAAATGATCAATCAAATAACAAACAATCAATCAAACGTGAAATAAAATTACGGAATAAAATAATCAGTCAAGGATCAACAGCAGGCACCTGTGTGGTGAGCAGGTTGGCTTTCTCCGTCACCTCCACCAGCTCATATTCAGCCATCTTGCGGGTGTGGTCGGCATGCTCCAAGGCACCCCGTAGCTCCTCCCCCTCAGCCGCCATCAGCACACAGCGACGCTCCAGCAGTACCACTTGTTCTTGCAGCTGATTGGTCAACTGTGTCTTGTTGTCCAGCTCCACCTGTTGACCTTTCACCTACAGTGCTACAGGTATTAGTGTTTGCCCCCCATATTGACTGCAACAAATTTACATATGGCTTGCGTGTGGGTGGCCATGTTTGAGGCATACCTGAGCATGCAGCAAGGTGACGGTCTTCTGGCCCTCGGCTGCTCGCTTGTTGGCATGACCAAGCTGAATGTCCATCTCACTTAAGTCCATCTCTAACTTCTTGCGCAAACGTACCGCTTCACTGCGAGCACGAACCTCTGCCTCCAGGCTGGCCTGCATAGCCTCCTGCGAGCGTTGGTGACTCCGCCTGGTGGATAACACACCGACTCAGGCACCCAAACCCGCTAGATAATTTAACTAGAACATTATTGAACCTGCTAAAAATATCGTACCATAGCCATGCTAATACAAATGCAAATAGACAGTGGTAAGCATGCGTTTTACTCATAAACATTTTAACAATTAATAATGTTACTCACACTACTTAACATTAAGGGTGAAACGAGTACCCAAGTAATTCGAATAGTTCAAAAAGATACGTCATCCAGAAATCAAGTTCAGTGCTGCTTAAGGACGATAAAGTAAATGTCAAATTGATTATGCTGACATTGTATTGTACGACGACTGTTAACACCGTTTAGCAGCGGCTCCAGCCCTAGCAGATAGCAGCTCCGTGCTAGGAAAGTGCCCCATATGGACAAACGAGAGATGTCGGGTTACATTTCAAAAGCACTTTCAATTGGCAAAAATGATTCTGCACACTTTGATGCTGACAGCCTGGCAGAGTGGCAGTTCATACTGATCAAGTGTAAACAAACCAGGTTTCATTAAATGTGTTTTGCTTTTTGGCCAGCAAAATGGTTTCTCTGGTTCTGACATCAAATCATAGAACAAAATCTATGGAGGAAAATGTGTCTAAAATCTCACTTTGTAATGTTGATAGAGAGGAGTAGAGTTTGTTGCTCAGCAAAGTTTGTGGGTTTTCTCCAGGTACTCCGGTTTCCTCCCACATTCCAAAACCGTGCATGGCAGGCTGATTGAACACTCTAAATTGTCCCTAGGCGTGAGCGTGAGCGTGGATAGTTGTTCGTCTCTGTGTGCCCTGCAATTGGCTGGGAACCAGTTCAGGGTGTCCCTAGCCTACTGCCCGAAGACAGTTAGGATAGGCTACAGCACCCCCCGCGACCCTGGTGAGGATAAGCGGATCGGAAAATAGATGGATAGATGATATATAAAAAAGAAAAAACAGTTTGTCATTCATTAAGTGGAAACGTTTTTTTTTTTGTTTTCTGTATTTATAATTGTTCTTCAACCAAGCTGTTTCCCCTAATTCATGATGATTGTTGTACTTTAAACGGTACATGAAAATAAAGTGGCTCCACTTTTGAGTAACAACATGAGCAATGCCATTTTAAATTAAAATATGTAATATTAAAGGGCAATAAGTACGTTAACAACATTAGTTAATGTGAGACAAAAAAAAAAAAAACTGGGACAGCCCCATTTGTCCTGGGGAAAAGTGAAACACGAGTAAATCTAGGACTGTTAAATTAATTATTTAGTTTTTTCATTTACAGAAGACGGTACCTCTGACCTATTTTTGCATTCACAAACTTCCTTCACAGCGGAAGTGTCGCAGAGGCAAACAGCAATCAGCTGATGAAGCTAAAAAGGGAGCTAAAACATGCTTTTCGAATGCATGGATTTATTCCGTCATGGCTCTTGTACATCCTCCCTGCTGACTCGTGCCCCCTGACACTTTATCGAAAGCCAACAGTCTCAAAATAGTGTTTTAAATTGGACAGTGATTTTTAGAAATTGGACCGGCAAATTGATGCTGTGATTAAATCTATTTTTTTTTTCATTTGGCAGTTGGCTAAGGTAAAGCCTCTTCTTTCTCAACACCCCTCAGAAACAGTTACCGTATTTTCCGCGCTAAAAGGCCCACCTAAAAGCCTTCCATTTTCTTAAAAGCTCACGGCGTGCCTTAAAATCCAATGAGCCTTGTGTATGCTTATTACGGTAATATGTCGACGCCAAAATGGCTCCTTGCTAGAGACATGCTTACAACGCAGAGTTCAAACTTAAGGCGATCGGGTTACGCAGTTGAACACGCAAATAGAGCAGCGGCAAGAAAGTTCAATGTTAACGAGTCAATGTTATAACTTGCTATTGGTTAAGTGAACTGTGTCGCTGCTTTATTAAATAAGTTTTCTGATATCTGATGTTCTGTAGCAACGCCACTTAACAGCTAAGCTGAGCTGTTGTAGTTTGCTCAAAGCTTCTTTGATCTGTGACGTGGTTGCGTCGGCGCTGATTGGTTGAACGTGCGTACGTGCTTGCGCTCTCGCGCACAGCAGAGAGCAGCGGACTACGGACTGCTGAGGCGCGTTGGTATTTCCTTGAGCGTAGCTCCATCTAGTGGATGCATTGTTGATTGCATCTTATAGTGCGTGCAGCCAATATACCTGTATGAAAACAATTACAAAACAGGACATTCATTGAAGGTGTGCCTCATAATCCAGTGCGCCTTTTAGTGTAGAAAATACGGTATGCATGTCTTCGTTCGATCTCGGCAGGATTACTGTCATGCGATTTATTTTGAAGTCAGTCAGTTCTCCCTCAAGTGTCTACAGTTGTCCCAAAATGCTATTGCTCGCCTCCTAACTAGTGCTCGGAAGAGGGAGTACAATTTTGGCCCCCCTTCGTTGGTTCCCTGTGCATTTTGGAGTTCTTGTAAAGATTATTTGTTTTCACATCTTGAAATGGCCTTGCCTCACCTTAAATCACTGAGCTCCTCCACACTTACGCACATGCCGGGTTTCTCAGGTAAGTGGATCAGAAACTACTGGAGGTACCAAGGACTGAGGAAGGCCCAGAAGGGATCGAGCCTTTTCCATCGCTGGTCCCTCTCTTTGAATGACCTTCCACTCAACCTTAGGCAAGGCCCCTCTCTGCCCATTTTAAAGCATGTCTTACAACACATTTTTGATATACGGTGTTTGGCTCAGCACAAAACTCTATATTGTTTTAATGTTTGTGGTGATTTCTGTTTTTTAATGACATAATTTCATTGTTTTAACTGTCTTTGTTATTGTTTGACAAATATTTACTCCATGTAAGGTATTTTGTATGCATCAATGGTTGTTTTACTGTGCTCAATAAATAATGTTGAGTTGGGTGGTTTGAGAATATAAGCTTCTGCAAAAAGTACTGAAATCCTGAACAGTTAGACATGTATATTCAAAAGTCCAGGGAAGATCAAAGTAAGCTCAGCTATAAATGTTATACAGTGATCCCTCGCTCTTTCGGGGTTCGTTCAGCACGGCTTCAGTGCATCACGTTTTTTTCCCCCACAGTACTGTATTCGGAAAAAATGCCAAATGACTCAGAGGTTTTGTGCATGGCTGAAACTAGAGTGGTTCCCAACGTCGACGTTCACCAATGACAGCACGAGTGGATCTATCCCACGTGGGGTGGGGAGGGGTGGGGGGGGGGTGTGAAGATGCACAGCCAATCAACGTGGCTTTACATCTTCTCAGCCCCGCCCAGCACCCTCCCTTCTGTCTTATCACGTGGGTGACTCTTTGATCTTTTATCAATGTCTAAGTGTTGTTTACATGCGTGCTAGTGTGTGCGTGTGTGTGCGCGCGCCGCACGCGCACGTGTGTGTGCGTGTGCGTGTGCGTGTGTGTGTGTGTGTATTAGTGCGCTCTGCTCACACGCGGGGCTCGTCTGTGCGCGGGTGTGTACGTGTATGTGTATGTGTGTGTGTGTGGCCCTGGGAAGTGCGAGACAGAGAGAGAGAGAGAGAGAGAGAGAGAGAATGCTTATAAGAAAAAAGCAGCAGTCTCTCTTCCATCCTTAATTGTCTAATTATTCACACATTGGCTGCACGCCACGGATCGCTGGCCTGTATGTGAAACATACAGCACATTTGAAATTTCGTCCCTCTAACATTTTTTTGCTTTTAAAAAAATAAAATCCTACTTCACGGATTTCACGAATCACGGTTTCTTTTTGAAACGTAACCCCCGCGATTAACGAGGGATTACTGTACTGAATTTTCGGTCCATCCTGACTTTTTATGAGTTGTGTATAACAGTCGTCGCCATGTAGATGGACATAAAGAATTTGTCCTGCGATAGTGATGATTCTAACGAACGTATTACAAATGTTAGCTAAATCAACAAATGTATGTTAGTCATGGTGACACACGTGAAAAATACACGAAGAGCTCATTAATGTATCAGATTGGAGACGATGCTAATAAATTATTTAATAAATAATTCATGAAAAAAACATCAAGTTTGAAAATTTCAAAGCGAAAGGCTCTCAAAGTTGAGTTAACCTGAGGCTGTCAATCTCTGCATCTTTTTCTGCAATCTGGCGTTCAATCGCCATCCTGGTTTGCTGAAGTTCCATCTGCACTCTAAGAGTCTTGCTTTCCTCATTCTCGAGCGATCCCTGGAGGTGGCAAGTAGAGCTGTGTAAAGAACAGCTTGACAGAGGGTTTCAAAGATGGCTGAAAGGAAGTCACTCACCTCTGCCTCCTCCAAGGCAGCTTTGATGTCACTCTTCTCCATACCCAACATTTTCTTCATCCTCTCAAGCTCGTGGATGGTCTTCCCACCATGACTGATCTGCTCAGTCAGGTCCACAATCTCACCTGCAATTAATTGGAAGCAAAGATGGACAAGACTCTTCGAGAAACATCTCATCTGTTGGCAACCAGCACGATACCTTGAAGGTTCCTATTTTCACATTTAACAGTTTCGATATGATCCAGAGCTTCTTCATAAATGTTCTTCATCTTTAATAGCTCCGTGCTGAGATTGCGTGATTCTCTCTGGGAAGCCTCCAGCTCTGACTGACTGTCCTCCAACTTCTGTTTCCACTCGCTCAACATCTGCAAGAAGACAACCAATGTGGATCAAACACACCAGCAAGCACCTTGACTAAGCAGTAGCTTGCATAGATTCTCGGATGTTGACACTCCTGTGCATTATTGTGACCTTGTCCAGGTGGCGTTGCTTCTTGTCAAGATTTAGAACGGAAGCATTGGAGTGTCCCAGCTCCATCACCAAGTCCTCAATCTCAATCTGCAGACGTTGTTTAGTTTTTTCCAGGGAGGAGTTTTTGGTCTGAGATGCCTCGGCAACTTCTTGTGCTGCCTGAAGTTTGACAACCAGCTTCTTCCTGCAAAAAAATGTAAAATTTTAAGGACCGCTCCCAACCTGAAATGGATGTGAGTTAATTATTTTTTTTCCACAAATAGATTCTATGATTACACCCATAGGGCCTGGCCGGGCTCAGCTCGAAGATGCAACGTGGGTCCCCCTTCTCATGGGCTCACCACCTATGCGAGAGGCCAAAAGGGTCGGGTGCAATGTGACCTGGGCGGCAGCCAAAAGCAGGGACCTTGGCAGTCCGATCCTCGGCTCCAGAAGCTAGCTCTAGGGACGTGGAATGTCGCCTCTCTTGCAGGGAAGGAGCCTGAGCTGGTGTGCAAGGCAGAGAAGTTCCGACTGGATACAGTCGGACTTGCCTCCTCACACAGCCTGGGCTCTGGTACCAGTTCTCTTGAGAGGGGTTGGACTCTCTTACACTCTGGAGTTGCCCACAGTGAGAGGCGTAAAGCAGTTGTGGGCATACTCATATCCCCCCGACTCAATGCCTGTACATTTGGGTTCACACCGGTAGACTAGAGGTTTGCCTTCCTCTTCTTTTGGGTGGGGGGATGTGTCCTGACTGTTGTTTGTGCCGATGCACCCAACAGCAGCTCAGTGTACCCATCCTTTTAGGAGTCCTTGGAGGGTGTGCTGAGAGCGCTCCTGCTGGGGACTCCCTTGTTCTGCTGGGGGACTTCAATGCTCGCGTGGGCAATGACAGTGAGACTTGGAAGGGCGTGATCGGGAGGAACGGCCCCCCCGATCAGAATTCGAGTGGTGTTTTGTTATTGGACTTCTGTGCTCGTCACGGCTTGTCCATTACGAACACCTTGTTCAAACATAAGGTTGTCCATATGTGCAATTGGCACCAGGAAACTATTGGCCGCAGTTCGATGATTGACTTTGTGGTTGTATCATCGGATTTGCGGCCGCATGTTTTGAACACACCTGGTGAAGAGAGTGGCGGAGTTGTCAACTGATCACCACCTGGTGGTGAGTTGGCTCCGATGGTGGGGGAAGATGCTGTCAGACCTGACAGACCCAAACGTATTGTGAAGGTTTGTTGGGAGTATCTGGCGGAATCCCCTGTCAGAAGGAGCTTCAACTCTCAACTCCGGCAGAGCTTTTCCCACATCCCGGGGGAGGTGGCGGACATTGAGTCAGAGTAGAACATCTTCCACATCTCAATTGTTGAGGCGGACACTCTGAGTTGTGGCTGTAAGGTGGGTGGTGCCTGTCGTGGCAGCAAAACTCGCTGATGGACACCAACAGTAAGGGATGCCGTCAAGCTGAAGAAGGAGTCCTATCAGGCCTCAATGGCCTGTGGGGCCCCAGAGGCAGTTGATGGGTATCGATTGGCTTCAGCGGTCGCCGAGGCAAACATTTGGGCGTGGGAATAGTTCGGCGAGGCCATGGAAACCGACTTCCGGATGGCTTAGAGGAAACTCTGGTCCACCATCCGACATCTCTCGAGGGGGAAGCAGTGCACCATTAACACTGTGTACAGTTGGGATGGGGCGCTGCTGACCTCGACTCGGGACGTTGTGAGTCGGTGGGCAGAGTACTGTACTTTGAAGGCCTCCTCAACTCCACCAACATGCCTTCCTTAGAGGAAGCAGAGTCTGGGGACTCTGACGTGGGCTCTCTTATCTCTGGGGTTGAAGTCACCAATGTGGTTAAAAAGCTCCTCGGTGGCAAGGCCCCAGGGGTGGATGAGATCCGCCCAGCGTTCCTCAAGGCCCTAGATGTTGTGGGGGTGTCTTGGTTGACACACCTCTGCAACATCGCATGGTCATCGGGGAGAATGCCTCTGGATTGGCAGACCAGGGTGGTGGTCTCGGGTGGTGATCTCTCTTTTTAAAAAGTGGGACCAGAGGGTGTGTTCCGACTACAGAGGGATCACACACCTCAGCCTCCCTGGTAAGGTCTATTCAGAGGTGCTGGAGAGGACGGCCCATCGGGAAGTCGAGCCTGAGATTCAGGAGGAGCAGTGTGGTTTTTGTCCCGGCCGTGGAACAGTGGACCAGCTCTTCACCCTTAGCAGAGTCCTCGAGGGTATGTGGGAACTCACCCAACCAGTCTACATGTGCTTTGTGGACTTGGAGAAGGCGTTCGACCGTGTTCGACCCCCGGGGAGTTCTGTTGATGGTGCTTCGGGAGAATGGGTTTCTGAACCCCCTCATATGGGCTGTTCGGTCCCTATATCACCGATGTCAGAGTTTGGTTCGCATTGCCGGCAGTAAGTCGGATTCGTTTCCAGTGAAGGTTGGACTCTGCCACGGCTGCAGTTTGTCACCGATTCTGTTCATAACCTTGATGGACAGAATTTCAAGGCCCAGCAGAGGCATTGAGGGCGTCCGTCCGGTTTGATGGCCTCAGTATTGCATCTCTGTTTTTCACATGTGATGTGGTACTGTTGGCTCCTTCAAGTAGGACTCTCCAACTCTCACTGGAGCATTTCGCAGCCGAGTGTGAAGCTGTTGGTGTGAAAATCAGCACCTCAGAATCTGAAACAATGGTCCTCAGTTGGAAAAGGGTGGAGTGCCCTCTCTGGGTCGGGGAGGAGATCTTGCGCCAAGTGGAGGAGTATAAGTATCTTGCGGTCCTGTTGACGAGTAAGGGCAGGAGGGAGCGAGAAATTGAGAGGTGGATCGGTGCAGCGTCTGCTGTGATGCGGACTTTGTTTTGGTCTGTCGTGGTGAAGAAGGAGCTGAGCCAAAAGGCGAAGCTCTAAATTTACCAGTCGATCTACATTCCAACCCTCACCTCTGGTCATGAGCTATGGGTCGTGACTGAAAGAACGAGATCCAGGACACAAGCGGCCGAAATGAGTTTTCTCCGCAGGGTGTCTGAGCTCTCCCTTAGAAATAAGGTGAGAAGTTTGGTCATCTGGGAGAGGCTCAGAGTCGAGCCACTTTTCCTCCACGTCAAGAGGAGCCAGATGAGGTGGCTCGGGCATCTGATTAGGATGCCTCCTGGACGCCTGGCTGGTGAGGTGTTCTGGGCATGTCCCACCAGCAGGAGGCCCCGGGGACGTCCTAGGACACGCTGAAGAGACTATGTCTCCCAGCTGGCATTGGAACGCCTCGGGATTCCCCGGGAAGAGCTGGAAGAAGTGGCTGGGGAGAGGGAAGTCTGGGCTTCCCTGCTAGAGCTGCTGCCCCCGCGACCCGACCCCGGATAACGGTAGAAATAGGATGGATGGATGGATGGTTCGATGATACCATGTGCTCTTGACATTTTCGATGACAGGACTGCTAATTGTGAGCAGGTTGCTACAGTCATTGTCTGAATCTATGGGCACTGGACTTTTCCAGGACTAAAAAGGTACAGGTGTGTTTTATTCGTGCATCCATACGTGCGTGCTTCCATCCCTCGTTCCATCCAGACATCCAAGTATTTTCAATGCTTACTCTGTTCTGGTGATCAGACAGACCCTTTGGACAGTGTCTGAGAAGATCTTATCATGAGACTCTTCCAGAGCAAAGTGGGTAGATCGTGTCTCGTGTCACCTCATCTGGCTCCAATCAATGTGGTGGAGCAGCAGCTCGACGCTTGAGTCCCTCATCGATGACTGGCCTTCTCACCCTATCTCTAAGGAAGACCCCAGGCACCCTCATAGGAAACTAATTTCAGCCCCTTATATTCGGCATGCTTTCTTTTGTTCAAGACCCACAGCTCATGACCATAGATGAGCGGAGGAATGTATAATGACCCGTAAATCGAGAGCCTTTCTTTTTGGCTCAGCTCCTTCTTCACCACGATGAATCGATACAGAGTCCACATCACACCAGATGCTGCACTGATCAGCCAGTTGATTCCCTGCTCCATCCCTCCCTCACTCATGAAGAAGACCCCAAGATATTTGAACTCCTCCACTTGGGGCAGGATCTCATCCTTGACCAGGAGAGAGCATTCCATCCTTTTTCAACATGGTCTCACATTTGGAGGTGCTGATTTTCATCTCAACTGCTGCACTCCGCTGTGAACCATTCCAATGAAAGTTGGACATTGCTGGTTGAGGAAGCCTACAGCACCAAATTTTCCCAAAAAAAAGCAGTCTTGTATTACTGACGTCACCAAACAGGACCCCCTTAATGACTCGGCTGTGCCTAAAATTCTGTCCATATAGGTTATGAACAGAATCGTTACAAACATCAGCCTTGGTGCAGTCCAACCATCACTGGAAATGAATCCATTTTACTGCCGGCAATGTTGTCCAAACTTTTACATCGGTGCTGTAAGGACCAAACTGCCCTCATCAGTGTGTTCAGTACCCTGCACTCTCGAGCCCCCCGCCTCATAGAACTTGTTACATGTAGACCAGTAAGGTGAACTCCCACGCACCCTCAAAAGCCCTGCCGAGAGTATAGAGCTGGTCCACTGTTCCACGGCCGGGATCCACGGCTGGGATGAAAAACCACATTGCTTCTCCTGAATCTGAGATTCATCCTCCCGACTGACCCTCCTCTCCAGCAACCCTGAATAGACCTTACCATCAAGGCCGAGGAGTGTGATTCCTCTGTCGTTGGAACACCCACTCTGGTCCCCCCTCTTAGGAAAGGGAACCACCACCCCATCTTGCCAATCCAGAGGCACTGTCCCCCCACATGATGTTGTAGAGGCATGTCAAACAGGACAGCCCCACAACATGTAAAGCCTTTCAAAACTATGGAGGGAACTCATCCACCCATTCTCCAGGCTCTGATGCCTCAAAGGAAGCCATGTCAGTGGAGTTGAGGAGGTCTTCTGAGTATTCTCCTCATATAATACACAGTGTTAACTATGCACTACTTTCCTCTCCTGAGATGCTGGATGTGGATCAGAATTTCCTTGAAGCTGCCCAGAAGTCGTTTCCCATGGCCTCACCAACCTCCTCACATGCCTGAGTTTTTGCTTGAGCGACAGCCAAAACCTGCATTACCAGCCAGCATCTGTTAGCTGCCTCCAGAGTCCCACAGGACAACAAATCCAATGACATGACAAAATCGATCATCAAGTGCACATTTGGACACATGTTAGAACATGGTGTTTGTTATGGATAATCTGTGATGACCACAGAAATACAAAACACCAGTCAGGTTCAATTAGGCAGGGCCGTTCCTCTCAATTAGGACTCACTGTCATTGGCCACGTGAGCAGCCCACACCTGCTCGGCGCCACTTAGCGTGGCTAACTTCAGAGTGGAAGAGTGTCCAACCCCTCTTGAGGGGACTGGGGGCACTAGAGCCCACCATTCACTTTCGCATTCACTTATTCAGTCACTGACACAGAATGGTACCCACACACTTTAAGAAAACTCAACCATGTGTACCAATACACTATGATTAAAGCATTCATGTTGCTCGTAAAATATTTCTATTTGTGTCTGAGTTAGTTACAATGGGAACAACAAAAACAAAATGTCAAGCACTGGGTGGCTAGGTAGTTGAATGATTAGCACATCTGCCTCACAGTGCAGAAGTGCAGGGTTTGTTTCCGTCTTATTGTGTGGGGTTTGCATGTTCTCTCAATGCCTGCGTGGGTTTTCACTGGGTACTCCGGTTTCCTCCCACATTCCAAAAACATGCATGGCAGGTTGATGGAACATTCTAAATTGTCCCTAGGTGTGATTGTGATTGCCAATGGTTGTTCATCTATGTGTGCCCTGCAATTGATTGGCAATCAGCTCAGGGTATACCCTGCCTACTGCCCGAAGACAGCTGGGTTTGGCTCATGAACCCTCGCGAACTTCGTGAGGATAAGCGGATGCATTCATCCATGCATGGATGCATGCATGGATGGATGGATGGAGGTCAAGGAGTTTTACTTTGCATCTTCCAGCTCTTCGATCCTCAGCATGGCATCCGTCTCATACTTGGTCCTCCACTGCGCCACCTGACTGTTAGCATTGGAGAGCGCCCTCTGCAGCTCTGCCTTGGACTCTTGCTCTGCCTCCAGTTGCTCCCGCAGCTGATTGCAGTCATGGCGAGATGCCTGCACTGTCTGCGCAAGTGTCACGCGTGTCTGAAAGAGAGACAGCAGTGACAACCTAAGATGCATCAAAAAAGCCCTTTCCAAATGCCTTCCAACTGGTCTTGAATTCATCGGTTCATCAAACAAGCAACATCACAAAGGTTACTTTTCTCTCTTCTTCCATCTGCCTTTTTAGGTCTTCCAGTTTATGACAGAGTTCGGCTTTGGATCGCTGCAATTGACTACACAGCACCTCGCGCTCCTCCAGGCGACGACTGCACTCGGCTGCCAGACAATAGGAAACACTGTCAACGCATCTTGGATCTACTGAGGAGTGTTTAGACATCATAAATCATGGGTGTCAAAATCATTTTTGTCAGGGGCCACATCGTAGTTATGGTTTCCTTCGGAGGGCCATGATGAATGTGAAACCAAATAAAATGTAGGACCGCCTCATATTACGTACACACAACAAAACTGGTGAATAACTAGCTTTGAATTCAGCCATCAGTAAAAACTATTCGGATGTTAAATTTATTTTAAAGGTTGGAATGGGAACAAAAAATGACATACAGTGATCCCTCGCTACTTTGCGGTTCATTTATCGCGGCTTCAGTGCATCGCGGATTTTTTCAAACATATAAAAAAAAAAATAAAATGTTTTTTTCTTTTTTTAATATACATGGAGTACAGTACTGTATATGTTGCTCTATGTGACTCGCTGTTGTTTTGCAGCTTCTCGCAGACCATTTGGGAACTTTTTGCGGACTTTAAAAAAAAAAAACAATTTTTTTTTTTACCTGTATATACATATATATACATATATATCCCGGGTGGTTTTGGTCCCCATTAACCGCGATAAACGAAGGATTACTGTATTTCAAGATTTTTAAAACTGAAGATAATTTTGCAATTTTTGTATTTTAGCAAGAATTAGATTCCCAAACGTTGCTTTTCGTGGTCCACATAAAATTAATTGGTGGGCCAAATCTGGCACCCAGACCTTGAGTTTGACCCCTGCCATCAGGTTTATAATCTCAAGATCCACAGGCAAAAACATGGCAACAATAAAGACATATTCTTCCACTTCAATCTTGTAGATGGGAGTAATGCACATTACAACTGCTACATAGATTTCTCATTTTTAAAACCGGGGTATAATCCACTGGAAATGGAGGCTCACTGCCCTACTTGGCCCAAATATTAACGGGCTGCAAATTCTTACTCAGCTTGTGTCACACTAGTTTTTGTATTTCTATTTTCTATTTAATTAACTAACTTGGCAACAACAAAGTGAGTGACCAATTAACAAATAACCAGTCAACTAAATTAAGTAACTGACTGACCAACAAATGAGAGGAACGACCAACCATCCAACTATCCAAATAGTAACAAACTAATCAACCAACTGACAAACCAAACCAAACTATATGCTTCGACATACCGGCCTCAGCTACATTGCGTGCCTTTTGCGCTGATATTTCAGTAAGCTGTCGCTGCAGATTGTCAGTTGTGCCACGATTCTCAACGAGCTGGTCTGCATACACTCGGCACATCTTTTCCACGGCGAGCTGCAAACCATGGTATATCTTTTAACAGACTGCTATGAAGCCTGACTTGTCGGATATGGGACGGTAGACAGGTCGTCACCTTGGCCTTCGAGAGCTGTTCAAAATCGGCAGCCAGATCATCGGCCTCCAGCTGAAGCTCTGCTTTCTCCTTCTCCATCTTCTGCTTGGTTCTCTGGAGTGCCTCAATTTGCTCAGTGAATTCCCCTACTGCGTCAGCATGCTTCTTCCTCATCATGGCAGCCGTCATCTCATGATGAAGTCCTGCCTCCTCCAACTCCCGTCGTTGCCTCAGGAAGTCCGCTTCCCGTTTCCTGTTGTGGCATAGAAACAGTGAGGGGAATGGAGTGGTGGTTTGCTCAATGGTACTCACCTATTGATTGTGATCTGAGCAGCAGAAATTCCTCCCGCCTCCTCCAGCTTCTCTCCAAGTTCTTCCAACTCCCGGGCAACATCGTTCCTCTGATGCTCCACCTTGTATCGCCATGCACACTCTGCCTCGAGGGCCTCCTCCAACTCTTCGATGCGTGTCTATAAAAAAAAAAAATTTAAAAAAAAAAATGGCATTGGTTAGGTCACTCAGTCTGGTGGAAAAAAACACATCATGTAACTTAGAGGTGACCGACTTTAAGCTCCTTGATTCTCTTCTGCAGCTGAGCCACCAGGTTCTGTTCGTCCTCCAATTTGGACTGAAGATGACCCAACTCTAAGTCTCTCCTGTCAATGAACAACACTTGATGTTACCGCACACAAGAAGTTCAAGCAAGGTTACAGGTGTTTTTCCTACTTGTTTATTCTCTCCTCCAGCTCCTTCTTCTGGTCCTCCAGGTCCCTCACAGAATCCTGAGACAGTTTCAGGTCAGCCTCAAGTTTTCTCTTGTTTTTTTCTAACTCAGTCCGCACTCGCTTCTCCTGCTCCAACGAGCTCTCCACCTGCAGCAGAGGACCGTTGAGTTGGAATTGGAGGGAAGACCAGTGTGGAGCTATAGTCTTACATTATCCACGTGCTGCTCCAATTTGCTCTTGGCCTTGGTCAAAATGTTGACTTTGTCCTCCTGAGCCTGGCGGTCATTGAGAGCTTGTTGATGAGCTTCCTGCAGGGCAACTTTCTCCCTGTTCAGAGCAGCAATGGATTCATCCAGGACACACATCTCTTGGGAAAGATTCTTCACCTGTTCCCAGGTCGAAGACAAAAGTTGGCCAGATAACTTTTGGGTGGAATGAAAACGTGGTCCTGGTGTTGCCCACCTTGGTTTCAACACTGTGCCTGTCCTTCTCTGCCTTGGCCAAGGTTACTTCCAGGTCATCCATGTCCTTCCGCAGGGACACTACTTCATCCTCCAGGAGGCGCTTCTTGGAGGTCAGCTTGGTGTTCACTTCCTCCTCATCCTCCAGACGTTCATGCATCTCCTTCACCTTGGACTCCAGGCAGATCTTGGACTGAATCAGCTGGTTGCAGCGCTCCTCTGCATCGGTAAGGTTGTCTTGTTCCTGTTTGGACCAATTATGTTCAGTTTATGGGACTGAACAGCTGCCAATCTCAGACTGATTATTGCATAGGACCATTCATACTGAGCTTTTCGGTGCTCAAAAGGGGCGTTGCCTGGAGGACCATTGGGCTTGCAAGAAGAGAGAGGGTTAGGCGTGGACTGGCTAAAGTCCGACCTAAATAATTTCTTTATGATGACAAGCTATGCTACATAAACTAACCAAATTATGGGCTAATAAATCACGAATCCAAAAATCAATATAAAGATGTTCGTTAACAGTGCTATTTAATCTCCAACTTGCTATGGAGGTGTGTTCAAGACTGAGCCGCTTATAAACCCCACAGTGGCAAAGAGACTACAGTGATCCCTCGCTTATCGCGGCTAATGGGGACCGAGACCGGCCGCGATAGACGAAAATCCGCAAAGTAGGGTTTCCCCCCACCCTTCCCCCCTAGGAATTTGTGTGTAAGGGTTTGTGGGTACCAGCATGTTTAAAATATGTAAACAGTATTTATACTTAACATATTTGAGACAAAGACTATAGCAGTACACATATTTACTTAAATCTTTAATTCTAAAACCTTATCCAGTAATTAACATTCATCAGCATTGTCTTTATGCAGATGTGACAGTGTAGCCTCCATTAGCCTCCAGCGAGTTGCTGGACAGCTATCCCATGGCACGCAGCGGATGTGCTTATGATTAGACAATTTAGGAGGCGAACAGACACTGCTGCCTTTTTCTTACAAGTCCAATCACACCCCCCCCCACTCTCCCTTTCTTCCTT